GAGCGAGGAGGAGAGGACGCAGACAAAAGGTGTTGCGGTCAATTGTGTGTGTGCGCTGCGCGGGCGCAGGGAGAGGTTATTTCTAGATGACTCTTACGTGTGGCGCTCGTTTCGGGCTGTGAGTGACTGCAGCAGCGGTGCGGACGGCAACGGAGGAGAGAGATACGGACGGTGTTCAAAAACGAGGCAGAGTCCAAGGACCTTTGCTCGACGCTGTCCGCCTGTGTCCCGTTGGATTTTCCCCCGCCTTGGGTCAAAGAACGAGACCAGGGCGGAGAGGATGAATATGACGATCTTCGATGATGATCGGTGGCTGCACCTGATGTCCGTCGGCCGGATGCAGCAGCTCCTCCCCATCATCGACCGAATCCAGGCGGCGATGGTAGCCTCGACCTTCAACAGCACCGCCGACAACGAGAGGGCTCGGCATCATTTCGCGACGCATACTCTACCGTGGTGAGTCCTGTCTCCGCTTGAGTCCTGTCTCCTCTTGCCTCAGATGGCAAGGGATCAATTAGCTCCGTGCGTTGTGTGCTTTGTCTGCTGTGCGGGACTGGGGTGCTGCGCACAGCAGCAGGGAAGTGCTATTGCTGGCTCCCTCCATGGTAATGGTGGTTTCAATCGGGAAGGTCTTGGAGGTCTGGAGAGAAGGGTGCGGCGCGATGTTCAAATTCGCAGAGTACTTACTGCTGTAGGTTTGCGGACAACCGGCGTTGCCTGCCTTTGGCAAAGTGCTGTGGCTGCGTCATCCAGTCTTATCCGAGCCCCCTCCTGGAATCCTGTCTACCCCCCCTTTGCCCTTCTTGAGATACGTTGAATCCGCGTTGAATTTCACGCGCGCGTCATGTGCAAAACAAGGCACCGCCCTTGTTTAGACTAGCTCTATATCTGTTATTTAGTCGAGAGAAGACGCCCGCTTCACCACCTGATTGCATACCTTTGGTGTGAATGTACCTGTAGGGCACACTGTTGCTTGCAAATACGTATTGATATTTCATCATCTTGCTAGGCCACACACCGCCGTGTCACCGCAGATATCCTTTCATCGTTCAGCATGGTCGATGCTGGACGAAGAAACTTGTCCACGTGTTACCTATCTCCCTGTTGCGGAGACATGAAACTTTGGAGTACATACAACAACCTCGGCATTTTGAAGGAGTCCTTGGAGAGTCTGACATGTGAACTCATCCTGGAACAGCAAGATATACATACCCACGTGTGTGTGAGACATGTCGGTGACAACTCTCAGCGGGTGCCGTCGCAAAAAGACCCGTATATATATATATATAATACAGAAACGGACATGCCTGAACCCCGCACGCTTTGGTCGGTGGACGCCCGCTACACTCCTGGATTTCCTGAAGTTGTTTCGGCCGTAGGTTGCGTAAGATACGACACCCCTTCGACGAAGCTGGAATGTTCCGCGACCCCCGAAGAGGCTGCCGAAGTCAACTGATACGTTTTCGGGAATCTCTGCATAAGCCTGTTCCAACGCCCCCATTATCGTTACTGCGGAGCAGTCGAGCTTTGAAACGCGGCCAATGGGTTATGGGGTATCTGCAACAAACCGTAATCTATACAGCTACGCAGGTCCCTGTTTAGTGTCGTTATGCATCTGTGCCCAGAACACTCACAGGGACTACAGTAGTACACCGGACCGGCTCTACACCGAACCGGCACTATTCAAAGTACGGGCAATGAGTTGGAAATTCGTGTGCCCACCGAAAACTCCGGCACTATACCTGGCGTTAGCACTATTCAACCGGCACGAGATAGGGACCCCCTCCTTAAATCCAGCCCTTGTTACTGCGTTCCCAAAGCTGAATATTGAAAACTTCCCAAAACACGAATCGCATGTTTGTATTGCGCCTATTGGTCGACGACGGAAAGGGGTGGCTGAAGCCTTTTCGCATGAAACACTATGGCAAGCAGGCGGAAAGGGGGGGCAAGAAAACCAAAAAGAAAATGAAAAAAGCTCCTGTGTGACCTTCCTATTGTGTGACCCCGGCTGATACGTCAGGTATTTACGCCGAAAGGCTTGCAAAACCGGCGCCAGAATAGATGGGACGAACAAGCACACACATTGATCAGCCGGTTAGAGCGGTCGATGGTAACAATAATACACACACACACGCACTTGCCAAGACTGCTGCATCGGTGCACCGGTGTGGTTCTTCGGACCTGTTGTTGATCTACCGGTATGATGTATGTAGGGGGTTTCATATCCCTAACCCTAACCCTAACAGTACCCCCTACATTAACCAAGATTAATTTTATCCTCCCTCGCGAAAGGTACTATTATAGGTTGTTCGCGTGGTCGTAAAGACGATCGAAGAGCTCCCACACGAGACGGCAGAAACGGGCAGAAATTAGTGCCGCCCAAAACGACACACTCTACATCTCTATGTTGCGGCTTGATTCACCGGCTGCTGTGTTTTTTCGTGCTCGCTGTCGTGCTTCCCCTTGGGATTTAGTTTCCTTTGTCTTTAATTGATGTTACAAAAACACAATTAATTAATCCCTTCCACAGATAGGAGTCTTTTACACGAATTCCCTCACGCAGAAGCGTACCATCGCCCCCGTCCCATTGTAGTTTTCCACGCTGAATTGTGATGTACTATGTGTATGTTTGGCACGATCCCACTACTGCCCTTGTATGCACGTCCATGTTAATTGTCTACAAAGACAAATGAGAATTACTTCAACCTTGAATACATCAAAGGGGGTGACTACAACGTCTTACGTATAGATTGGCGTAAATTGAACATTATCAGGAAAAATCATTTCCCATTGGTACGTAACTTGCCCAGCACCCTGTTTTGACAGAATCTTCGACGCATTCCTATTGAGGGACAGGTTCAAAAGGATGCGGCATGACAGTCGCAGACGGCTGTAAGTTGATCATTGTATAAAAAATGTAGGCAAGCACCGCAGGAAGAAGGTGGGCACTAAGGAGCAAATAAAAGCTTGTGACTTTCCTTTTGTGTTACCCCGACTGGTGCGCGAATAAAACGCCGAAAGGTCTCAAAATCGACGCCTGCAACAATACGGCATGAGACCCTACATACTATACTTACGATCTTTGACTCAAGTGCCCCCGTTAAGCATCTCTGTCGTGGTACAATCCTAAACTTTTTTGTATCCACATCGGGAGGCAATGCTTCTTCCGCTCGTGCCTTCCCGAAAATACGTATTTTCCGTTTGGGTCTCGGCATCCCCGTTTGATTCGGGGCTACAGGTCAGGTTGGGAGGGGCGGAAGAGGG